TTGATAACTGAAATATAGATTAAATAAAATTAAAATATAAATATTAGATGAAAAACTTATTTTAGTTAGTTGCCAAGTTTTCCATTTAGTTTAATTTGAAGAACTAAAATTACTAACTGAAAATAAAATAAAAACTAATAAAAATTACAAAAGCACATAAGAAAATTGCTAAAAATGTAACAAAATGAAAACTGAAAGTATAAAAATAAAAGCTAATTCCAAATATTAAATACAGCTGCAAGGAGCAATTAAGGGGCCAAGCATAGCAGAGGCAAAATGGGGAGCTAAGCATGGGGCATCAGACCAACTCCAACAATAAGTAATTAAAGCTTTTAGGATGATTTAATCAAAATGGCTAAATATAAGCCTAAATATAATATGATTTACTGGTTTATCACTTTTGAACAATAGTTGGCACTGTTATCAAGTTGTTATGGTGTAGTCAGTGTGACGGTACAGTCACACATAAAAAGTTTGGTGTCAATATTCCAAAGTGCTGCAGAGTTGCAGCCTCAGTATCAGTTTGGCATCATGCCAACAAATTCATTGTTTAGTAATGATACAACAATACATTCTTAAAATATTGTTTTAATTTAATTTAATTTAAATATTGTATTTTATAACATAACCTTGTATTGTAGTTAATGGCAATTTCATGTTTTATTTAATTATATCGCCACCAAGAGGCACAATTACACCACTTTTTTGTGTGTCCTCAGATTGTGCCCATACATATGTGTGTCAAATTTGGTGAAAAAATCTTTTGTTTTGGAGACATATCTATGAGAACATAAAATATGACCCATTTACAACTTTGATTGCATTTTTTGCCACTTAGGTAGGTTTCCTAGACCTAGGTTTCTGAATTTCCTATGGTGGTTTCATCTTAATTGGACTAACGAAGGCTTGCTGCAGGCTAAACAGTGTGAAAAGGCTACCCCAAACTGTCCTTTGGGATTTTTTCATTTCAAAGTGATTCTGTGTAGTTTGGCGGTATTTTGTGTTTTGCAATGCAAGAACCTCTAGTAATACTGCTAGTGGACCAACAACAACAATAATAGGCTAAGAAATTATTAAATTATCCAGCATTAATTATTATTATTATTATTATAAAATGTAGCACCGATTAGGGTGTCAACAATAGTCAAATTTCAAATTCAAATAGTGTGGAAACGACGCGGTATTGTTCATCAACAGACAACCAATCATATCCTGAGTCAGCTCTCCCCTCATTAAAAATGCATGCTCTTTCTACAATGCGTTGAAACTTAGGCGCGTTTTTTTTTCAGCGTTGAACGTTGAAAATCGGGTTGAACTGTGCGGTTTTGAAGATATCGCAAAAGTTGTTTAAATACTAAATCACAACGTTGCACAAACCATAAGGCGAAACCAACCATGTTTGGTATCGTTGGACTCAGCAATAATTTGGGAATTTAAGGAGATATGACTCCTGTGAAAATAAGTCAACCACAATCCAAAGTTATTTACGTGAATATTTGATTTTGGCTTGAAACTTCGCAGACTCCTTCAGGGCATCATGCCGATGACCCATACTGAGTTTTGTAACATTACACTTATGTGTTCATAAAATACAGCATTTTAGTACCAAATTCAAAATGACCAATGCCCAAAATGGCCAATATGGGAAAATTGGATATCATTCAACTCTGCATGCAGTACCGAATCTAATGAGACATATTTTATGATTTTTGGACAAACCCTTCAGAGGTTATATGCAAAAAGATACATTTTCATATCTTCTTCTTCTGTGCTGAAACTGTGCAGGTACCCTCAGGTCATGGTTGATATAACACACACCAAGTTTGGTCTAAATATGACAAAGTGTTGGAGAGATATAACCTCATGTCTGATTTGGCAAGCTTTTTGTTGAATTCGTTTGCATGGTTTTTGGGAACGGATGGGTCTATCAAAACGCATTTGATAACGTTTTGCCAGGATGGTCTGAAGATGATCTGTGTTCATTTTTGTGAAAATCAAATGAACTGTCTAGAACAAGTTTGAAAAAGTAGGTTTGTCAAACTAATAAAAATTGTGAAAAATCTTGACCCCTAGAATTAAAAATGCTGGTGTCCACTTGACTCGGCATGAGGAGGAAAAAAGGAGGAAAATAATTTTGTGTCTAAACTTTAGGGTTCAAAAGTTATTAGCATAAACATGAGTGAAAATTTGGACAAGTGGTGGCGCTAGAGAATTTGAGTTTGAGACACCAAATTTGCTGTGGTTAATGTTGAGACTGTCCTCTTATCAGTGTGCCACATTTCATAACTTTCCCACGAGTAGTTCTATGGGCTGCCATAGATTTCCATAGTGGAAGAAGAAGAAGAATAGGAAAACTAACGAATACAATAGGTGCCATAACACCTTGGATGCTTGGCCCCTAATAAAAACTTTAGTATTATAAATTGCCAATTAACCTATTTTTACAGCATTTTTGCAGTCTTTTACCATATTTTTTCACAGTGTTCATATATTGTTCATATATTATTTAATATAATTTTTTTAATACATATATTATTTAATGTGACACAAGCTTACTTTTCTTATGCATCTGCACTTGGCATGTTCTCTGCAAACATGCACACTACTGGACTGCAAGCCCGTGATCCAATTACACAGCCATGCGCTGTCTTTATATTTGTGTGGTCAACACAAAGTCTTAATCGTATCACGTGCAGTGTCTGTGCAGTAGGTGAGAATATATTGAGTTTCAGGTTTATGTGCTAATGTTAACACTGAGCCCTCTCCTGGGGCTGCAACACGCTGTGCTTCCAGTGCTATACTGTTTGGCCCTCAGCGCTCTTCAAGCCCCAGTGCATTATGGGTATCCCAGACTGCAGAGCTCTACTGCACAGTGGGTTTGGAATAGTGCCGGTAACCCTGGGTTTGTGTGGAAAAGCGCTTGCGTGTGTGTGTGCGTGTGAGTATATTGACTCCACGTTGCAGATGCATGAAGAGGATGCTACATGATTGATGGCTCTCTATTAGGATCAGTTGTGCATGGAGTGGGTATGTTTTGATATGACTTTCATATCACTTTCATTGATGTCATTATGAGGTCTTTGTTACAATTATTTGAGTGTTAGATCAGACACAGGCGAATCATGCTGTCAAGAGGGTCCCTCATCAAGATTATGAGATTCAAATTTGTGTAGGTGGTGGAATGGACTAATTATTCAGTGGCTTTGGGCACCGGCACTAACCGCAACCTTAATGTTTACTTGTATTATGGTATTCATGCTTTTATTTTCATCTGCTTTGGTGCATGCAAGTTTTATGGAAAGCATAACATTTCTTGCAAAGAATAGAAAGATGTGGATTAATGTTTCTTTGCGTCTTATGAAAAGTCATCTTTTGACATTTTTAGTGTATGACTTAGTGTGTTTAATCTCTCCATATATTATAATATTCTGTGATATTTTAATATTATTCACAGCTTTCTAGCACAGTCAAACAAATACTGATTCAGAAATTCAGAACATTTTCTCTTCATTGAGCTCAGGTCCATTAAATAATATTAATAGATACAACGTTTGATTTTAGTCATGTGTATTAGTAAATGTTGAGATGCATAACATGAACTAAGATTAATAAATGAAGTTAACTAATGTAGTTAACTAATGTAACCTTATTGTAAAGTGTTACCAGTAATTGATTAGTTTATGTTCAATATTCTGTATCTGAACACGTGGGACATCACATGCATATCTGGCATTCACAAATTGTAGATAGTAAATGGAAAACATTAAACACTTTGCTGTGGTTGGAAGGTAACCCCCTCCCTCCCCCCTCCCTCCCCTTCATGTTGTGCTCCAGGTCTCAACGTCCCAGTGTAATATCCATCATCTGCTCCATTGCAATTTTCCTCCACATTTTATAAACTTACAAAGTTTTGACAGGTAAAAGAGACTGTTCTTTACTCCACTTGGAAGGCTTGCTGCAGGCTAAACAGTGTGAAAAGGCTACCCCAAACTGTCCTTTGGGATTCTGTGTAGTTTGGCGGTATTTTGTGTTTTGCAATGCAAGAACCTCTAGTAATACTGCTAGTGGACCAACAACAACAATAATAGGCTAAGAAATTATTAAATTATCCAGCATTAATTATTATTATTATTATTATAAAATGTAGCACCGATTAGGGTGTCAACAATAGTCAAATTTCAAATTCAAATAGTGTGGAAACGACGCGGTGTTGTTCATCAACAGACAACCAATCATATACCGAGTCAGCTCTCCCCTCATTAAAAATGCATGCTCTTTCTACAATGCGTAGAAACTTAGGCGCGTTTTTTTTTCAGCGTTGAACGTTGAAAATCGGGTTGAACTGTGACGTGTTGACGAGAGTAGAGAGACTTTATTGTGTTGTCTAGGCTTTTCTACGGTTCACGAGACAACCACCGAATTAATTTGCCGACATTGCGCGTGCTCGTCGCGTTCTGAATATATTTCATGAATCATATCATAGGCCTATATATGCTGATAGGAAAGTTAACCCGGGATTCACTAAGGTACAGTAAGGAATTCGAAACTTGGCTGCCCAAAATTATTTACTAACCCAGGATAAAATGTGAACAGTGTGAAACAGGAACATATCCCAGGATTATATTTACCAGGGCAGGGGTTCATTTATGTTTGAGGCTGCATACTATTTATGTATGTGGTGTTGCATAGTAATAATGATGATGATGATGATAATTTCATAAATAATAAAATATTACAATTAATGACATTTTTATAAATAAATTCTTTTTAACAAGTGTTTTAATGTTGTTTTATTTTATTTGTAACTGTTTTTACATCAGCTAACCTGTCCATGCAGAAAGCAGAGGTGTGCGCTGCATCACATCGTCCATTCATCTGTCTTTTCACTGTCTTTTCTCGCGCTCCGGCTCTCTTACTGGGGGCTCCGTGTGCGCTGGGTTAGAGAAAATAGCTGTTTTATCGCGCAGGGATTTGATCTCTTGTCTGTCTCCGCTCCGCAGCTCTTCGTTGCTGGGCTCCTGGTCTGCGCGAGGCTGTAGAGCGGTGCCCGTCGACTCCAGCACAACTAAATGCTTGTGTGACAGACTCTCCACCTTCGCCATTTTAGCACGCCTCAATCCCGATGTGGTAAGTCGAGCCATTTCTATTGTTTCCTTTAATCGAACCTCAAAAGACGCGTTTGTGTGATATTGTGTGATTTAATGTACCGCTTTTTCTTTTTTTTTGGTCATAGGCGTCATTGTCATTGTGTATCAACAGATCCCTCTCTCTCTCTCACTGCCCCCTCTCCACTGCATGCCAGAGCCATACAGCAGATTCAATGCAAACAATTTAAGACATGTTTCATTCTTTAATGTGTATATAGTATACAAATATTTGTGACAATAAAGGACGTTTTGACAGGTCTGTTTAATGCTAGAACGCAGTGCATGAAACATGCTGGCTTTCATATTGGATTTGCATACATTAAATGTATTTACAGAGAAAATGCATGTGATTAATGCTGTAATGATTCAAAATAGCTAACTACCTACATATGTTAAAGATTACAGTCTCCGTTATTTGTAATGAAATGCATTTTGTTTCAAACATAGCAACACACAAATTCCTTTTTTTTTCTGCTGGGTTTGTGCTCGAATACATTTTTCTGGTACATTCAAATGTGCATAGGGGAATTGTTGGCCTTTTCATGAGTAGTGAAACATATATCTTTAATGACACACCATCCGTTCATTTGGGCCTTAGAGGGTTGACTTTGTGTAAATCTACATGTCTTGCTTTAAAACAGCATCTTTCTTTAAAATTATGGGATTTGGTTCGGTTTAATGCAGGAAAAGGGTCGTGTCTTTGTGTGGAATTTTCATTCAGTGTGATTAGTTATTATTAGACTGGAAACTGCCTCTGAAGCAGTTTATTCACCAGTTGCCGTGGAAACAGCATGGGCAGTGGAAGTTCTTAAAGCTATAGAACATGCTATAACACTCTCTTTGTGCAGCTTGGCCCAGATATGAGCCAGAGAGCCCCAAAAAAAAGGGAGGAAGAGGAAGCTTGACACCCTACTGGCCAAAACAATGGCCACGTCTTCTCTCATTTGCTCTGCCAAGATATTTCAGATTGGCTGCTTCAGGACAAAACCCTGTTTTGATTTGGGAAACCAAGTAAAAAAGGGACATTATAACAAAACAGAATTAGGATCACAGCATTACATAACAGGCTACTGTGCACAAAGCTGCAAAATGGGGTACAAAAAGTCTATAACAAACATGGATTGCTTTTTGTAGTACATTTTACTGGCTTAATGTGATTTTATTTTATGTTTTTTGTCAAGTTGAGCATGATGTTCAATGCAAAATAAATAAATAAATGTAGGGTACTTCACTTTGGGAATCAGTTGGATTGGAAATATGGAATTTCTGTTCACCAAAGCCACAACAAGCACAATCTGCCTTTTGCAACACATTTTACTTACTTAAAGGTATAGTTCACCCAAAAATTTACTCACCCTCATGTTGTTCCAAACCTGTATGAATTTCTTTCTTCTGCTGAACACAAAATAAGATATTTTGAAGAGTTTGGGTAACCAAACAGTTGATGGACCCCATTGACTTCCATAGTTTTCCATTATATATACCTGAGGCTCTCAACTCTGGCCCTTGAGATCCACTTTCCTGCAGAGCTTAGCTCCAACCTTGATCAAACTCACTTGCTTGTAACTTTCTAGCAATCCTGAAGACCTTGATTAGCTTGTTCAGGTGTGTTTGATTAGGGTTGGAGCTAAACTCTGCAGGAAAGTGGACCTTGAGTGCCAAAGTTGAGAACCCCTGGTATCATTAATTTGAAATTCTAAGTTAAACAGGGTATTCAAGGCAAAAATGTAAGGTGCTACTTCACTCTGGGAATCAGTTGGATTGGAAATGTGGGTTTTAGAAGGCAGAACTTGCTTAAATTCCACCTAAATACCTCCTTGGCTATTGTTTAACATTATCGAATTGCTCTCTCAGCCTAAGTGATGTCAGCAGAAAAGGAAAGTTGTTTCAAAGGAACATCATTTTGTTTAAAGATTAAAAAGACAAACTATCTTTATTTAGAATGATGTGCACTGATTGATTGGTTGTTCAAAAGCCAGGAAATTGCATTAAAGTAAATATGGTTATATTTATTTCACACTGATCAAGGCTGATGGTACAGTACATCCAAACATGTTTTTAGGATATATTGAGCTCCATCTTGAAGCCAGTTTACATTATACACATTTTAGCTGTGTTTTACCGGCCTCCTGTGTGCATTTATGTGCTGCTATTTGCTCTCATGGATGTGTGTGTAAAGACTGCATGATCTGCATGTCTCCTTGTGGTGATCCAGAGAGCTATAGCTGTATGCTAATTGCTCGCTTATGATGGCTGCCTGTCCCGCTCTACCTGGTCAGATGGACATGGAATAAGGGAGTGTCGCAGTTAGCTCTTTCCATGCATCGTGGGAAGCATATTGTGGGGATTTCATTTGTGTTACCGTATGCCAGCAGAAGGGAGGACCGCTCCTCCCCTTGGCTCCACTCCCTGTCTGTCTCTCTCTAGCCTTTTCACTCCAGACCGCCACTGCTATGCCGCTAATTATTCCTGCAGCTCCACTTGCCACCTCAAAATGGCCCATCCAATTGCCCCTCCGCTGGCAACTAGTGTCCTACAGCTTCAGAATGATAAAGAGCCAGAGAAACACTTCCCTTCCTCTTTTTCCCTCCCACATTCTTAGTCTGAATATACAGTCAGCTGCAGTGTACATGGAAAGAGAGAAATAAAGGGAGATAGTATACTGCAGCTATTTTAATCACACTCCAGTCTTTCTACAGATGTTTCCAGGTTTGAACCAGGCTCTGGTTTACATGGGTCAGATTGTCTTACGCTTTGTATGCAGTTTGATATGAGAAAATTGCTGTGGTTTTGCCCAGACTGAATATTTATGAGCTAAAGCTTGTAGAAATGCACAGTTACGCTACAGTTGTACTTGGATGGAGCTCTGAATACATCATTTCCAAATATGGGTCAGTGAAGATGGCGAGAAAAAAAAAACGTACACTGTGTTGAGATGTTTCATGTTAGTACATTCTTCTGAGGTAGGCCATTGTCTTTATGCTTGTCATTTGTACAAGATTCAGTATTGCATTTGCAAGTCTATTATTTATGTTTGTGCAGTCTTACTTAATTTTAATACAGTTTGGCAGGTTTTAAAATATTAATACAGAGTTAGACCAATGTCCTCAGTAACTTATTAAATGTATTGTTTAGCTAATATACAGGTATATATATATATATATATATATATATATATGTATATATGTGTGTGTATAGAAAATAATCACCCCCCCTTTAAAATAATCACATTTTGTTGCTTTGTAGCCTGAAATGAAGACTGAAACAGTTTTTGTTTTATCCAGCTGTATTTATTCAGTGCAACTTATAACATCCAAGTGAAAGATTTAACACTTTTCTATACCCACTGTAGATAGATAGTGTCAGATAGTGTCAGCTATAAGCCCAAATGTAAATATAGATTGATGGCTAGATATATACATAGATATGTACATGTAGGATATCAGACCGAATCAGACAATCTAAGATTTGGTCAGAACCGAGTTGAGGCACGAGGAGTCACAAAAATTCCACAGAGGCCCCTGACAACAGGATGTCATAAATCGGACCCCAGCCTCTCTGAAGCAAGCCTAAACCTAAGACCCTGTCACAGAACAGTTTTCAACATTAACACAAAAGAACACCTTAACAAGTCCAATTTTGGGGCAAGTTATCAAGAATAATGGTCAAAAGAGATGCACAGCGTGACTGCCACATGGAAACATGTGACAGTGATCACAAGCTTCAAATTGACTTCCTCCACTAAAGACAAAGAACAGACAGACTAAAATTCCTTAGACATTTTAATCTCTGGTCTCCTTACGTCCACAGAATGCCAAAGAAACTTCATTTCCATGTGAAGATGCATCTAAATGACACTAAAAGGACTGGTGACCAGCTAATAATTGCTATGCATAACTCCATATTATGTATCTAACCCACATGTTTAACCATCATGTTTTAATCATTTATTGTGTATGTATTGTTAATAACTATTGAAGAGCTTAAGGGGTCATATTCATGCTTGGTATGTGTGAGTTTGAATTTTCATGCTTGAAACGTTTCTTCCAATCAATACTTGGTCAAATGTATCATGTATAGAAAAGAATCACCCCCCTTTAAAATAATCACATTTTGTTGCTTTGCAGCCTGAAATGAAGGCGGACACAGTTTTTGTTTTATCCAGCTGTATTTACTCAGTGCAACTTATAACATCCAAGTCAAAGATATAATACCAACATGCCAGAAAAAATAAAAATAAAAAAAGTTAAAACAATCACTGAGTTGGAAAAAGGATCACCCCCTTGTGTCAGTATTTTGTTGAGCCACCTTTTGCTTTAATTACAACCTTTAGTCTGTTGGGATATGTCTCTACTAACTTTGCAGAGTTAGTGCATCTAGACTTTGCAGTGTTTGCCCACTTTTCTTTGCAGAACTGCTCAAGTTCAGTTAAATTTGATGGTGACCGTTTGTGGACTGCAGTCTTCAAGTCATTCCAAAGATTTTCAATGGGGTTTAAGTCTGGGCTCTGACTAGGCCATGCAAGGACATTCACATTTTTCTCCTTCAACCACTGTGTGGTCAGTTTTGCTATGTACTTTGGGTCATTGTCATGTTGGAAGGTAAACCTTCTTCCCATTGAACACTTTGCCTCATCCATTTTTCCTTCTATCCTGACAAGTGCTCCAGTCCCTGGTGCAGAGAAACACCCCCATAACAGGATATATCCACCTCCATGCTTTACTGGAGGAATGCTGTAATTTGGATGGTGAACTGTTCTGGATTTCCGCCAGACATATCGTTTGGTGTTGAGGCCAAAAAATTAAATTTTAGTCTCATCTGCCTCAGAATCTTCAAGGTGCGTTTTAGAAAACTCAGTCGTTACTGCATTTGGCCTTTCTTGAGGAGTGGCTTTTTTTCTTGGAACCCTCCCATACAAGCCACATTTGTGGAGAATTTGTGATGATGTCACATGCACACAATGACCACTCTTTGTCATAAATTCCTGCAACTGCTTCAGAGTTGCTGTAGGTCTCTTGGTAGCCTCTCTGACCAGTTTCCTCCTGGCTTTTTCATCCAGTTTGGAATGACGTTCTGATCCAGGGAGGGTCTGTGTTGACCAAATACCTTCCACAACTTCACTGTGCTTCTTGGCATTTATGAAGCCTTTAGATAAAAATTGTATCCATCTCCTGACATGTGCCTGTCCACAACTTTATCCCGGAGGTCTTTTGACAGTGCCTTGCAACCCATATTGATTGTTTGCTTCAGTTGCACTACACAAGGACTGGAATGCTCCAGGAACGCTCTTTTTCATGCTGAAGTAATCAAAATGAGCCGATCACAGTTGAAAGACGAATGGATTTGTGTGCCATTGAGAAGTAATTAGCTACACATTATTGAGTTTACAAGTCATTTTTAAGAGGGGAGTGATCCTTTTTTCCAACTCAGTGATTCTGTTTTTTTATTTTATTTTTATCTTTTTCTGACATGTTGGTGTTATGTCTTTCACTTGGATGTTATAAGTTACACTGAGTAAATACAGCTGGATAAAACAAAAACTGTGTCAGTCTTCATTCCAGGCTGCAAAGCAACAAAATGTGATGATTTTAAAGGCAACAAAGCAACAAAATGTTATTATTTTCTATACCCACTGTACATATATTTACTTTACAATATCCCCATTTTTTTTTTTTATTGTTGTAGTCTAATGATAATTTAGTTATTATTGTATCAAAAATCCGAAATAGAACAATTATAACATTTTGAATATTGGCTACCTATCAGATGCCTAAACATAATAAAAAACTTTCCTCTTACCTCTTAATGCTCTGACACCAATGGCAGCATATAGAAAAGCATATATAAAAAAGTCCAATGAAGTATAAGTGCACCAGCTGTCCAGAACTGACTTCATTGCGACTTTCTAAGCCTCCTTTTTACTTCCGTCTCACAATTAACTGTCAAATGTTTCAAAATTGATGGGACTTGATACTTGATAGTTTCTGTTCCTAACTAACTATGGGTCTCTGTCTGCACTGATGGACTAAATAATTCCCTTGGTTTGATAGCGTTTGCTCTGAGTACTATCCTGTCTTCCACAGCTTAGACTTAGTCAAGTGTTTGATTGGCTAGGAGAAGACAAACGTAGTCTCAGAGGATACATTTTTTCTTGATTGTCAGTGGGGACCTTACTGCGGTGCAGATTAATCAGAGGGATTTAATTAACTTGGCCCTGTGCGCACATTAAACCTGGAGACAAGACAGGCTATAAACTCACCCAATTATCTTTATGTGTAAGTGTAAGTCTGTGTTTTCGTCTTAAGGTGAGAAGTCCACACCTCGGAGAATGCATATCACCCATGGACATCCTAAACTCTGCTGTACCACATATTTAAAGTGTTTAACGGATAATATTTCTAGACATGCATTATAGTGGCGTATGTCTTAAGCAAGGAATGCAGATATTCACAAACACACACAGGCATGCACTACTCACACCTATGGTACACTTAATGCTGCGTACACCACTGCAGTGGCCGCTGTTTCTCCACCACATCACCATGGCAACCAAGACAATGATTGCGCAAGCCTGCAAATGTGTTATATTTGAGGCTTTTGATTCACAATCTCTGTATGAGTGATTCACAGCATCAGGCATTTAGCTTTTCCCGGTTGTCTGCATGTCATTGAAGCAGTCATAGGTTGCTATACTGTAGCTCTCTGCTGTGCCCTATGGATATCTCAGTCCTCAGTATCAGCTCTTTACCGAGTGACCTTCATCTCACCTTGTTCCTTAGCCGGAGCCACACAGACAGCAGTCCACTCTCCCCAGATCTCTTCTGCACAGAATCGCATGAAAGACTGCAGGCGGCTAGCCTGATGCACCATTAGCATCTGTGAGCACTAACTGAGTCTATTTCTTGTTTTTGACAGAACATGGATAAGACCCAGCTTCCATCTGTGACTCTGATCGTGGGCTGCGGGGTCTCGTCCCTCACCCTGCTCCTCCTCATCATCATCTATGTGTCTGTTTGGAGGTAAGCAAGACTTTCCGCTGATGAAACACAATCTGGCTGTTCACCAGTAAAATAAACTTACTTGATGGGAAGCAAAAGGGGTTTCAGCACCATGGACAGCGACATATATTTGTGTTAAACGCTTTGGGATGCTTTGGAGTTTGAGATTCAAATCAATTGTTTGACGTGATGTAATCCTAAACAAGTCAGGTTGTTATTTACTATTCATGTGGTTATTATTGAAAGATTGATTAGCTAGGCCAATTAATGCCCATTAACAAAAGTGGTCATTCTGTCTAGTGTCAGTTCCAATAACTACGAACAGCTTAGTCCATGGTCAGTACACATTTTTTTATTATTTTGTAATTTTTTTTAAAATAAATTTTCTTTAGAACTTTCATTTAGCAGAAATGTATTGATTGATCAAAAATGACAGTATAAACGTTTACATTGTTACAAAAATTCAGTTTCAAATAAATGCCGTTCTTTTGAACTTTATCAAAGAATCATGAAAGAAATGGATCACATTTTCCACAAAAATATTAAGTAGCACAACTGTTTTCAACATTGTAGCATAATGATACGAAATATTTATTGAGCACCAAAACATCATATTTGAATGAATTCTGAAGGATCATGTGACACTGAAGCCTGGAGTAATGATGCTGAAAATTCAGCTTTGCATCACAGTAATAAATTACATGTATTTTTTTTTTTTATGGAAAGCAGTTATTTTAAATTGTAAAAAAATTATACCAAGTATTCCTGTTCAAACACCTGTCAAATTCCCAGTTTATTTATTTATTTATTTTTTGATCAGTTAATGCAGTCTTCTTCCAAAACCATTTAAAAATGTACAGAGTCTATATACAGTACAGAGGGATCCTTGCTTATACTCATGTTTTGCATTTACACATCCTATTTTTTTCATACATAACATATTTGAAATAATTAAAAGTTTGCAAAAATATATATTTTTTTCTCCATGCTATTTCTTCCTTTGCATCTTGTGCTTCAATGATCTGTACAGATGCTTTCACTAGGTCAGTGTCACATCTTGGTCGCCACTAGAAATTATACATCAGTTCAGGTTCCATGAATGTGTCCATCTATTTAAAGCATTGTGGCTGAATGATAGCGAGCAATAGATGTCATTTAGTTGTATTGGCTCAGTGTTTCTGGGTTTTTTCTTCAGGTACATCCGCTCAGAACGCTCTGTCATCCTCATCAACTTTTGTCTGTCCATCATCTCCTCCAATGCACTCATACTCATCGGACAAACTCAGACACGGAACAAGGTATGGCCAAACAAACACAAATAAGTTGATAAAACCCTTGCTCTACAATAAATATTTTTAATCTTCCTCTTTTCTTCTTTTTACATGCCATCCTTACCTTTGATGGATGGACTCTCTTTTTTCGCTCTTACTATTTTCTTGCTCTTAGGTTGTTTGTACTCTTGTGGCTGCATTTCTGCACTTCTTCTTTCTGTCCTCTTTCTGTTGGGTTCTCACGGAGGCATGGCAGTCTTACATGGCCGTGACAGGCCGTCTTAAAAACCGCATCATACGCAAACGTTTCCTCTGCCTTGGTTGGGGTGAGGCTTGTGTTGCATCTTCATTTATAATCTGTTTCTTCTGAAAAAAAAAATCACCTAGCTGGGTAGTTGATGTAAAATTTCACTTGGTTTCAGCAGCATAGTGTGGTACTGCATGCTATAATCTAAAAATGGTAGCACTTTATTTTACAGTATGTGTACTTCCCTGGTACATACATGGTAAATATCTTGTACCTACAGGCAAATGAGTGGTAACACAAGGTACTTACCTGAAGTGTATGTACATGGTAACAAATCAAAAACACGGCTGTACTTAACAGTCGTACATGCATGGTAATTATTTTGTACATACAGACAATGGGTAATAATGGTCACTTACAGGTAGTGCCCATACATGGTAACTAATTAGATACTTTACCGTACTTACTAATGTATATACATGGTAAATATTTAGTACTTATGGACAAGTGGGTACAAACAGGCACATCCTTACAGTATCCATATATGGCAACTAATAAGACATATTACTGTACATACTAATGATATGTACATGGTAAATGTGTAGCACCTATGGAAAAATGTGGTATTATGTGGTAACAAACAAGACACATACTGTACTTGGTATATACGTGGTACATATGTAGTACTTACCAACAAGTGTGAGTAATAACGGTCACTAACAGGTAGTGTCAGTATATGGTAACTAATAAGACACATTACTATACTTACTAATGGTCTATACATGTTAAAATTGAACAAAGTTTGAAGAACTGGTAATTCCTGTGTAATGTTTATGTAAAAGGGTGCACTTTATTTTACAGTCCTATTTCCATATACTTACTATGTACATACTGGTGTATGTACCTATTAGTTAATGTACAGATAATGTACAATAAGCTATGCAGTACTCAAGTTGGGGGGGTTATAAACATGGACCAAGGTACTTAATGAGTAATTGATGGTAGGTGCCATTGCAGTTAACTTGCCTTATCTTTAACGACACTGATTCTCTTAAAGGGGTCATAGGATGCTACATGCATTTTTTTAAGTAGTTTGAACTGAAATGTGTGTTGGCAGTGTGTGTACACAACCACCCTATAATGATAAAAATCCACCCAGTGTTTTTTTTTAATCTACTAAAATCTTTACCCCTTCTCAAATTGAGCCGATCTCAGATGCCTGTCTGTGTGACGTCACAAATACAGGCCCCTCCCATGATAGTTTGATTGACAGTAGCATTTTAGCACAGACTGGACTGGCGTCTTACCTTAGACCCGCCCTGAGTGAGCTGTCATCAGTCCGCCTTTGTTTCACCGCCGGAGCAGATGTAGACAAGAATTACTTCTAAGCAATTGAGGTGTTCTGTTGTTGGATGTAATAATGAACATAGCAGTCGTTATTTACTCCTGACATCTGAGCCGCTGAAGACACAGTGAATTACGTTTGTTTTTGAAGGGAATGCACCCCGATCTACCTAAATGTGTCTATGTTCGCGCGAATCATTCGTGATCCAGCTTCACCTACAGAAGAAGTGAGTATAAGGTTTTTTAATGAATCTTTGCAAATTGCTTTTCCTAATAATGTGCTAATTAGCAAGTTTCATGATGAATGCAGCTAAAGTAAACAGTCCCTCAGAGAGCGGCTCGGAAGAGAGGGGCGGGGTCAGCAGAGCTCATTAACATTTAAAGGAAAATGCTACAAAACGGCTTGCTCTGAAAAGAGCTGTTTTTGATAGGGTAAAAAAATGTGTTTTTTACACTACCATAAAGAAATTTTAACCAAACTATGTTACAGACTTTTCATTAAGACCCTAAAGAATCATATCAAAAATGAGCATCCGATGACCCCTTTAACTAATTGGTCCAATAGGGATTTTTGATGACGTACATTGCAAATAATTATGTGTGTAGACAGATTTTATTTTGGAATTATACAGTAGCTACCAGACTCATATTTGCACTTGCAACTCCTGATTTTCATGCGTCTTAATCCCTATTTAAAAGGACTTTGCCTGCTAAATATTAACACTATGCAGTGCTGCACAGTTACGGCCGTGTTCCCAACCAACTTCCAAAGTTCCAAACTGCAATGGCGCCTGACACCAGTACATACATAGGAAGTATATGGAAATAGGACTGTAAAATAAAGTGCACCATTTTACATTTAAGCACTGTTGTGGAGAGCAATTTAGCATTAACAGTCCTACACAAGCAATTGAAAAATAGTCCTCTTTTTATTAGGTAAGGTTATGACTTACCAAGGGTACCGTACATACCAAGTACAGTATGTGTCTTGTTTGTTACCACAAAATACAATATTTTTCCGTAGGTGCCACACATTTACCATGTACATATCATTAGTATGCACAGTTATGTGTCTTATTAGTTACCATATACGGCTACTGTAAGGATGTGCCTGTTTGTACCCACTTGTCCGTAAGTACTACATATTTACCATGTATATACATTAGTAAGTACAGTAAAGTATCTAATTAGTTACCATGTACGGGCACTAACTGTAAGTACCCACACTTGTCTGTATGTACAAAATAATTGCCATGCATGTACGACTGTTAAGTACAGCCGTGTTTCTTATTTGTTACCATGCACATACACTTCAGGTAAGTACCTTGTGTTACCACTCATTTGCTTGTAGGTACAAGATATTTGCCATGTATGTACCAGGGAAGGACACGTACTGTAAAATAAAGTGCTACCCTAAAAATTTTACTAAATATAATCAAACATATTGATGTTGAATAAAAAATGTATGAAGGAGGAATGGCAGAGGATCGCCAAATCCAGGTGTGAAAAACTTGTTGCCTCTTTCCCAAAAAGACTCATGGCTGTATTAGATCAAAAGGGTGCTTCTACTAAATACTGAGCAAAGGGTCTGAATACTTAGGACCATGTGATATTTCAGTTTTTCTTTTTTAATAAATCTGCAAAAATGTCAACAATTCTGTGTTTTTCTGTCAATATGGGGTGCTGTGTGTACATTAATGTGGAAAAAAATTTTTACTTAAATGATTTTAGCAAATGGCTGCAATATAACAAAGAGTGAAAAATTTAAGGGGGTCTGAATACTTTCCGTACCCACTGTATGTCAAGTACTCAAATACTCTCCACTTATTTCTGTTCCCTTATTATAGGTTTACCTGCTCTCGTTGTAGCAATTTCTGTTGGATTCACCAAGGCAAAGGGATATGGCACTGTTAACTAGTGAGTATGATCATGATGAAGTTGATAAGTCATCTATTTTTGCTTATATAATTTCTAGTGCTTTTAATGACCAGTCCGTCCCTGCATTGCATCCTTTAAGTGGACACTTTAAAATGTTAAAAACAACCACATTATCTGATTTTTCCCCCCTCTGGTTTCTTTATCCTTTTCGTTCTTCTGTCTCTCTCGCTCTCACTCCCTCTTTCTTTTTCCGCTCTTGCGTCTTGTGTTAGTTGCTGGCTGTCTCTGGAAGGTGGACTGTTGTACGCATTTGTGGGACCAGCTGCTGCTGTCGTCTTGGTACAATTTCTCTCTCTGTTTGAATTATTCACAGAAATATTCTGTCCCTCATTTTCAGATTCAATGTTTAATGTTGCTAGCATCACTGCACCCAAATATAAGATTTGACAACAAATATGAATATGCTAATATGACTTATGAATGAGAATGCAGACAGTTCCAGGTTTTATTCACATAACTCATTATTCAACATAATATCCAGCCAACACGTGTTTTAGTAGATCTATTCAAACACAGCGTATGCTAAGTGTGCCAAGTGTGGACATTGTAGTCATTACACTGCTGCAGATTAATTAAAGGGGTCATATGGCATTAATAAAAAGAACATTATGTTGTGTATTTGATGTAATGCAATGTGTTTATGCGGTTTAAGGTTTAAAAAAACACATTATTTTCCACTTAATGTACATTATTGTTGCTCCTCTATGCCCCACCTTTCTGAAACGCGTCGATTTTTACAAAGCTCATCGTTCTGAAAAGCGATGTGTACGCTGATTGGCCAGCTATCCAGTGCGTTGTGATTGGCTGAATACCTCAAGCTTGTGACAGAAATGTTACGCCCCTTAACATACTGTGATGCCATCTCCCGGCGCGACGAGACAAAAGCAATAAAACCCATTACAAACGAGGCATTTGTTGCATCCAGTGGGGACATAATTACTGATTATAATGACTTATACCGTGTTTTTATGCGTTGCGTTGCTTATCGCACCACGTAAACTATGTCTGCATTTGTGATCGGAGAAACAACAAACAACAAGCGCTACTCTACACTGCTTAAAACTCGCGTTTGAATCATCAGTGGCAAATTCTTTAAATATAAAAATTTACTTACAGGCTGTGAGTCAGAAGCGCCAGACTGTCCTTGCAAAGTTGGAACTGCCCCACTTTATAGAACAGCCTTTGAGCATAGATCCATTGTAGGCTTCTCTGCAGGTTCAGGAAACAGTCCTCCATAAAATGTGTCACACACTGCGCCACCGCTGATCACTCAATCTGGCCTCCGCTCACACTAGGCCGCCGCCCTCCGCTGACTCTAGGCCACCGGCCTCCGCTCACTCTAGGCCTCCGGCCGCCGCTCACTCTAGCCCGCCGTGTGTTACGTTATGAAAGCGGAACTACTTTGTTTGGCCTTCCAAAAGAGGACACGACTAGAAATCAGTGGTTAAGTTGTATTAACAACACTGTTCCAGAACAGTTCAACCCAAATATTCAGATGTGTGCAGCACATTTTATGGAGGACTGTTTCCTGATCCTGGTAGAGTAGACTACAATGCCGGCTGTTCTGACTCACAGACTGTAAGTAAGTTTTTTATATTTAAAG